TGGCCAGCAGGTCGAGGGAGGTGATTCTGCCCCTCTACTCAGCTCTGGTGAGACCTCACCTGGAGTACTGCGTCCAGCTCTGGAGCCCTCAGCACAAGAAGGACATGGAACTGTTGGAACGGGTCCAGAGGAGGGCTACAAAAATGATCCGAGGGCTGGAGCACCTCTCCTATGAGGACAGGCTGAGAGAGTTGGGCTTGTTCAGTCTGGAGAAAAGGAGGCTACGGGGAGACCTGATTGCGGCCTTCCAGTACCTAAAGGGGGCCTATAGGAAAGATGGGGAACGTCTTTTTAGTAGGGCCAGCTGTGTTAGGACAAGGGGAAATGGTTTTAAACTAGAACAGGGTAGGTTCAGGCTAGAGGTAAGGAAGAAATTTTTTACAATGAGGGTGGTAAAACACTGGAACAGGTTGCCCAGAGAGGTAGTGGAGGCCCCATCCCTGGAAACATTCAAGGCCAGGTTGGATGGGGCTCTGAGCAATCTGATCTAGTTAGCAGTGTCCCTGCTCACTGCAGGGGGGTTGGACTAGATGACCACTAGTGGTCCCTTCCAACCCTAAACATTCTATGATTCTATGATTCTATGAAAATGTGCTGGAGATCTAGAGAGGGATCTTCAGTCCCTTGGACCAGTTGGCAGCAGGCTCCACTCCATGACTGAGGCTGTCTGTGCCACACAGTCAGCAGTCGTGGGTGAGAGCTGCTTGTCCTGGGCAGGACAGGACAGGACATCAACAGATGACAGGAGAGACACATGCACATGGTGTGTGATGGATGCAACCAGAGCTTTGCAGGCAGGTGCCCATGGTTTTGCAGTGGGTAAGCTGGATTTAGATACCTATGACAAAGTGCCCCCAGAGGGCTCGTTGGGCTGGCGCTTTGTTGGTTGGCGTCATTTTGGGGAAGCTCCTGTAGAGTGATTTTATCATGTTCTAGATCATATTTAGAGCTTAGATGACCTGCTAGCCTGTGCTGGAGACCTGGATTCGTTTACTGGGACTCTTGTTCTGTTGGGAGATTTTGGGGAAAGTTGCTTTTCCCTGCTTTGCCTTGGTCTTCCCAGGGGACAAACCACTTACTGCTTTCATTAAGTGCTTCATAGTACCAGCACAGGGGGGTGATGGCAGGTGCTCTGATCGCGACTAAAGCCTGCTGCAGGGAGCACGTCTGGGTGGGCTGACACCAGCTATAGCAGTCATTGCTCCGAAGTGCCTGGCTGGGAGATGTGACTATTTCACCCTTCGCATTGTATTAGTGTAACCTTTAGTGTGTGATTTCCTCTTGATAGGGCTAGTGGAGGCAAGAGCCAGCCTTGATGGGGCTGGTCTTGGGACTTTGCAGTTGCATGCACCCCCAGGCCTTCCCGAGACCTCCCTTGGCAGGGAGCTGTATGTTGGTATGACACGTCCTGCCACCGTGTTCTCTGCCAGCTCTGTTCCCTGGCACGCATCGCTGTTAATGATGTGCTGTTGGACTCTTGTGTGCCGTGGCTTGGGAGGGCCCTGTAACCAGCTACATCTGCCCGAGGTACCTGGGTCGCACAGATCTCACCACACCAAAAAAACTTCACCCAGCTCATGGGGAGAACTCCTGCTTCAGGTACACGGGTCTGACCCTGCTGGCTGTATCAGCTTTAGATGAGAGAAGGCCCGTGGTCTGCAAGGGCTCTTCTGGTCGGCAGCGGGGTCTGTCTCCTTGGCAGAAGCCACTGCCTTGCCCCAGCTGGAGTCTCCCACAACGTGGGGAATGGGAGCATGCTTGGCCAGGATAGCTGTTGACCTCCTGTCTCTCCCGTTTCCTTCCAGTCCTGGACGCACAACATCCAGCGGGAGAAGGAGTTCCTGCGGAAGCTGGTGAAAGCCCGAGTCATCACTGACCTAACCAGTGGGATTTGAGTGGCTGGGGG